TAAGTTCCATAACGCCAGCTCTTGGAGCTACATTTTTGTAATGTAGCTATTAAAAGGGCTCAAAGTGGATTAGGGCTTATTGCTGGATAGGGATAAAAGAGGTAGACGCAACGCCTTCTCACCTCTACCTGAGTAGAGCTATTATGCTCTTGTTTGTTTATAACTTGCTAACCTGCTTCAGCCTGTTAATCAACCTCCACAGCTTTGCCAGCGGCCCTTAGAGTAGGATATTGCTTGTGGTTTTTTCCCCTAGTTACAAGAACCTGCACCTACATATACTTTCAGAAACATAGAATGTGTTCTGCGCTCTCCTCTTCTTCCTGAACGTATATACACAGTGTTTCTTCTGTCTGTACTCTTATACGTTGCATCTGCCTTCTCAGCAGTGCCTTGTCAGGAGTCCAAACAGAATCAGTTGCGGTTACCTTCTATCAAGTCCTTTGTTAGTCATGAGGATGGCCCTACAATGGATTTCTTCGCATTCCTCATACCTCATCCACAAGGTTTTGCAATATTATTATAACCTTAAGATTATCCATGTCATGTGTTCCTAACGCCAGCAATTTGGCTCTAAAGATGGTAGAGCCCAGAGCCATGTGGTGCTCATAGTTGGGCTTCTTTATGCACCTTCCCATTATCATATCTCATCTTTGAGCCTTCTACATACCATAAAAAATGAACAAATCTTTCTGCTTTCTATTATTTTCCTATAAATATGTCGAATAGTTTTTTAAATGACTGTTCGACGTAATTATTTTAACAAAATAAATTTTTTTTATTAGAAATTTTAAACTTTTAAAATTGTCTATTATACATCTGAGAAAATTTTAGCCATCTAATTTATTTTACCTTTGTCAAAATTTTTGGCATGGCTAGTGTTTTTTCGATGATTTATGCCAACTGACTTATTAATTAACTAAAGTTTGTTCAACGTTGTAATAAAACACGCACAATATTTTTTACTAAATCTACTCAATTTAAATATTACATATTTATAGTAAAAATTATGAAAGATCCATTATAAAATTAATGGAAACAGTAAAATCTCCAATTAAATAATACGTTAGGCAGACAGATTTTATTGTTTTCTGGATTATCCAATACAATAACATTGCCTCCTCTTATTTGCAAATAATACGGTTTACATATAAAGCGCTGATAACGAATAAATTAATTCAAAATGTATCACATGCAGAAGAGATTATGTTGATTGATGAAACGTTATTATCGCACTTTAAACACTTGAATATTCCTTTAGGTTATGACGTGAGAGGTTAATTAATTAATTTCTCAAATTCTGGGATATGGTTAATTGTCAAATTTACTGATCTCTCAGGTTCCAATGATTTATGATTACTTACAAAGACACTTTGAGTTATACGTTTTCATGAAATTTATTTTTTATTTTTTCATAGTCTGCTTTTATTATTTATAATTTTAGTTTTGTACGAGTTCTTTCATATTTTATTACTTATTAACGTTTTGATTTCAATCAACTATAAAGGTTACAAAATCAACGTATTAATTTAAATTTTTTTGAACACTGATTTTATAAATTTATCTCTCCCGTGCAAGTTTTGCGATTGAACCGGCGAGGTTTGCAATAATCGCCAATTATTGGTACAACGGGTCGGGATTAAAATCGATCCATCATGGCTGCTGTAGATTCGTAATATCTGACATTAATATAACACATAATAATTCCTTCCTTCATATTGATCAGATTTAGGAGGTAAAGTCCGTTGCGTTGATTAGGAAAATCTTTTATACACACGTACGGTTTATTTGTACAGAATATTTATACCGTTTATTTATACAGAATAAATATGTACCTAAAAGTATATTTTGACGTATTGCATGGCTAAATTTTCAGATTGGCCAATTGTAAAAAGTTCGTAGATTTCAAATGTACTTTAAATATCAAATTCTTGCATTTCTTTTAGATTTTCTTCTGTATTACTTGTCACCATTTATTCTAATTTTACTTTCTTTACCAAGTTTTTTTTAAATTTACATTTTAATGGAGACATTTCGGGCATGACTAGCTGAATATAACAAGCTTGGTGCAGACCATAAAGGCTTTTTATAAATCCTTACTTATAAAAAAAAAGAATGAAAATAAAATAAAGTAGTTTCCCTCCAGATAAAAGATGTAAACTACTTTGCATTTTAAATGGGTAAGGTATAAATAGTTGAGATTTATTTTTTTTTTTTTTTTTACGAGGGTTCGCAACAGCAGAGGTTATATCAACCCTCGGGGTACCGGTGTTTTTGAAAAAAAAAGTCCATTTGTAAGTACGTCGGGTTCGAATCCAGGGCCGATGGATTCGAACCCGGGATCTTTAACTTACAGCGATGAGCGCCGTGTCAACGCCTAAACCGTTGCGGCCACCGACGCCCAGTTTTGAGATTTATTAATTTCCAAGTTATCAGCCCATAATTAACCTTCCACAGGGTAAAGATATAAAATATTTATATATTTTACAATAGAGATAATTATTATTCATTGAATAATAGTATTGGTACGTCTACCTTTTATTCAAATAATCTATCCATTGATTATGATTGTTAGTGTTAATATCTGCCCTGAAGAAGGTTCAATACAGGCCGAAGTCTTGGCTACAGCTCAAAACTGACTGACCACATCTCATCTAAATTTAAAATTTTCTGGTCAGTAACATCGACGTCAAAGACATTGCCTCTTTGGCCAGTAGTTGACATTGAACCGACAGCTGAGAGGATACACAACAAAGCTAAACTCGCCCTAGGCTGGTGCAAAAGATGTGGAGTTAGAAAAATAAAATGTCTCTGCCCACACGAAACAAAAAAAATTAATAAACTAGACCCTCTGGCCTAAAGAAGATTCGTAAGACCAATGATAATTTACTGGAAAATTGTTTGGTGAAAAAAAGTATGCAGTTTAAATGTATAAAGCTCCTAACGTGCCACAAAGGGAATCATGCCTGAGTATCACGGGAGACTACCTGTGCCTTGTAGATGTTATTAAACCTACTTCTCTACACATCCTTATTCAGGGGAAAGCAAGATCGGTTACATATATGTTTATATAAAGAAAGTCTCACACAAACCGTTTTCAAATTGAAAAAAAAAAAAGAAAAGAGGAATTTCAAAATTACTTAAAATTCCTAGGTAATTTTGATCCTAAAGAAAAACAAAATTGTAATATCACAATGAGCAGCATTTGATAACGGATTAACCGTCATAGCTGACTTTATTTGTTATACAAATAGCTCTAAAACAAAACAGGGAACTAGAGCCCATATTTGTAAAACGAAATTGGACGTAAAAAGGTAAAGTAAAGTAATTCCTGGCATGCAGGGAGGCTTAACCTCCGACAACTCGTTAGATGTCGCTGCGACGAGGGATCAAATCACTTTACAATACTTCTTTCATACTAATTCAGTTTAAATAAACTCTGAGATGTGCCGTGATTCGAACACCGAACGACTAAGGTTGCAAATGCGAGGCGGACGACCTAAGCAATCATCAATCAGCCTTCGCGGTACCCTGAAAATTAAACGTTAAAATATCAAATTCACTAGTTTTCGTGGTCCGCTTGACCAATTATTATATTTCAATTAATTCAGTTTTTAGTTGAGATAAAAAAGTCAGTGAACGAGCGGGATTCGAACCCAAGATGTTCGGCTAGATACGCCGCTACTCTATCACTTCAGCTATCGTGACCTCGAAAGGAGGGAAAATTCAAAAGGTGGGGTTGAGATGGGAAGTTAGTGTCCGAGTGGATCGAGGTCACGATAGCTCTAGTAGTAGAGCAGCGGCGTATCTAGCCGAAGATCGTGTGTTCGAATCCCGCTCGTGACACTGACTTTTTTATCTCAACTAAAAACTTTAATTAGTTAAAATATCAACTGCATTTCCGAGGTGTTTCACCTAGAAAACCGGGACAATTGAGCATAATAGATACAAATCCTGAGAATAGAAGGCCAAATATCGTTATTTTTCTGACATCTAGCCGCGCTCAAAACATTAAACTCCCCTAAGGTTAGATCACTTACAGTATTAGAGTCCATGAGTGCCCTGGAAAAGTAAAAATAGACAATAAACTATCTCTTGTCTAGGTCCGGGGGCACACAGAACAGAGATAATACTGTGCACTAAACTGTACTTGATGATCCCTGAAGTTGTTAGATTGGCCGGGGGAGTCCTCAGCAGTTCCATCAGACCCGAACCCTTCTGGAAAATCGTAAACTGCCATAAAATAGGAGCAACACGCCAGGACTGGTAAAAGACTGATAAGAAAGTCTTGCTTAAAATATTCCACCATCGGCCCTCTACCACAAACTCACGCTAATAAATACATTTACTCTCATCAGTACTATATACAATAAAACAAACTTTTCCCTAAAAAATCGGAGCCGATTTTTATATCGAGTAACACACACTGTATATTTGGGCCAATAGAATGACACCCTTGAATTAAATGCGTCTAATCGAGCAACCTTTCTATCTTACCAGACACAGGGGGCTTTGTTCAAAAGTAAGTGACAACATCCCATGAAATACTCAAATGGGGTGAGGATGATCTCTTTGCTACAATTCAGATCCTCCATGAATACGCAGGAGTATAATGAGTATGATGCCGATCCTAATCACTGATGCTGCTATGGTGGCTAACATAAAGCCTAAAGCTAGATAGTCAGCCCAAACACGAAAAGCCCAATAATCCTATTTTTTTGGAGGCAACTCGTACGAACGCTAACCTCCGCCTTAACGCTCGTTCAGGTATACAGAAACGTTCCAGTGTTTAGATTAGTATAGTTTAAAAACTTTAACAACACAAAAATTTATAATTTATTCTCATGTCACTTTTTATATCTAATATATTGATAAATCAAGTATTGGCCCAAACATTGATCCCTGAGAAACGCCTTTATTAAGTTCGTTTATAACCATTTGTTGTAATTGTAAAAAAAAAAAAAAAAAACAATTTTAACTTACTTTGTAAATTTTGTCGGCAGGACATGCACATATCACGGATTTCAACATTGCAACAACGCTCAAGGATGGCCAGCTTGCAACGTCCATGTCTGGTACGAAGCCGTATATCGGTAAGTTGATGCTTGTTTGTCAAGAAATTTATAATCCGAGTTTTAATAATCAGTAGAAAAATGATTAGTACAAAAACTGCATAATTTTTGAAACATCGATAGCAAGTTTGTTCCAAATAAACAGGTAGAGAGTTATAAATTATGATGATTATTTTATTAAAAAATCGTACATATTTCCAAATTTTTTTACATATCAGCTAAGAATTTCTTTAGCATTTCATAAAAAAATGTCTTCAACATAGTTGTTTTTGATATATTTAATCATATATTATATACGTGTGTATATAATATAGATTATATTAGTGACCGTTAATCGATGATTATTCAGAAATCGTGAGATGCGGTCTGGTGTGATGTAGGTTTCAGAAAAACATTTTCTGAGAGAATAGAAATACTTTGATTGAATATAAAAAAATATATTTTGCATTGTATAAATTCACTTTTTCCACATCCTACATGTATTTGTTAAATGTAAACAATGTTGGTAAATCCCAGGCCCTGAAGATGATCTCAATGAAGATCGAAAGGTTGGCACGATAAAGAAAATATTTTTCTGAAACCTACATCACACCAGACCGTATCTCACGATTTCTGAACAATCATATATTATATAGTTTATCTGGTTATATTATCCTTTAAAAAAACGTTATCGTTTTTACTAAAGAAAAACATAGTTTAATCAAACTCGGCTCTTTATCTGTGACTAAAATTTTGTTCAAAAACGCCAATGAAGATGCCTCTGGGGCCAACAATTTGATACTTCGTGATGTTATTGATTTTTCGGCTTTCATCTATCATCTGGATTTTGTCCAAATCGAGTGAAACGAATCTGCCCCGGGGCTTAAATTACCTTAACGCTACGACATTTTAACATTCAACTCCTCTTCCTCTCAAAATTATTAATAAACTCTTCGTACAGCGCATTTTGTACTAATTCAATTGGGAAGAAAATTTAAGAATCTCATGAATTTTATTTCCCCTTTCTTTAAACACAACTCCAATTTCCCTGGCCTTATTTTTCCTTATATAAGTAACAAAGTGAATATTTCATTAATTTTTCGGACCGATAATATTATCCATTTGGTGTTATCACTTTTATTTTCTAGAAACAACTTGGACGGCTGTGCCGAATCAAAAGAAAATGCGCCATTTTAATGATTGGATGTGTTATGCTTTAGACGACCCTTTCCACTAATGAGAATAGAGTTTCCCTTACGATTCTTTAAAACATGGCTCATCATTATCTTGCAAAATCATATAATTCGTTCAATTTATGAAATGATTTTAACGCGCTTCTGTTTTCTAATGTAACTACCAAAAAGAAACGTAAACTGTAATTGTAATCATTAATAGCTGTAACGTGGTATTGAAACGTAATTTCAACGTTAATCAAAGTAATAATTTATAGCAAACGGGAAGGTAACAGTTTATTATGTAACAGTTAATCAATTTACATATAAATTAAAAAACACATTATTATAGGATGTTTCGTTATTTTCAACTAAGTTATGTTTTTGACTCATAAAAGCTTATTTACGCATTAAATAATAAATTCACTAATTTCGTGGTCCGCTTGACCAATTAATACTTTACAATTAATTAAGGTTTTTAGTTGAGATGAAAAAAAGCTAATGGCACGAGAGGGATTCGAACCCACGATCTTCGGCTAGATACGCCGAGTTTTAAATGTATTATTTCATTATTAATTAATAAAAAATAGTATAAAATGTCAATAAAAAATAGCAAGACTTTAGGGAAATAAGCAGGATGAACAGCTGTGAGTGCAGTGTTTTGCATTTTTAAATTTTCCCTCTTTGTTGCCATTTTTTAACTGTCGTGTAATTAGAATTCGATTCTCGGGGATAAATAAAATGGCCAATCGGACCACGAAATATAATGGATTTAATAATTAAAACGAAGTATATCTTCACTAAAGCTCTCCGTGGCCATTTCATTTGTCGCCGAGAAGCGAATCCTGATTACACGACATTTGAATAATGGCAAAAAGGAGGAAAAATTCGAAATTAGGGTGAGATGGAAGTGTCCGATCGAAGTCATGATAGCTCAATTGGTTAGAGCAGCGGCTTATTTAGCCGAAGGTCGCGGGTTCGAATCCCGCTCGTCACACTAGCTTTTTCATTTCAACCAGTACCTTACATAATTAATTGAAAGATGTACCACTAGTTTTAGTTATATTTGTACATAGTTTAAGCTTATACGTCTTTCAACGTTGGCCTGATTTTTCTAGACAACAAATGTCATATTTAAATGTCCAGCTTTGAACTTTAATCCGTCATTGCAACATGTAGCATCATGGGTGATATTATCAAGTAAATTAACCACGAAAAATTTGAACTTGATGAGCCCGGGATTCTTTGGTTCTTCTATACTAAAACGAGAGCTTTAGTGAAGATATACTTCATTTTACTTATTAAATCCATTATATTTCTTGGTCCGATTGACCAAATAACTTTTTTCAATTAATTAATCTTTATGTAAGGTATTGGTTGAAATAAAAAAGCCAGCGTCACGAGCGGGATTCGAACCCACGACCTTCGGCTAAATACGCCGCGACTCTACCACTTGAGCTATCGTGACTTCGATCCACTCGGACACCAACTCCCCATCTCGACCTACAGGCGAACGAAGTCTGTTGTCTGAATACAATTTATTAGCTCGATTTTGGGAGCTTATCCCCAATTACTATAGAGCATGCTCTGGAGTAGAGGGAACGCTAACCAGACTATTAAATTTTATTTACTATGTTTTTTTATGGGTTTGTTATTTGTGTTATTTTATTTTCAATTGACAACGCCCTGAGATAAAGAGAGGCAAGCACTAGTATAAAGAAAAAAAGGATCAATTACGTTATCATATAACATTATAAAATCAACAACAAAAATGTCAGTAGAAATTAAAAATATTAAAACGCGAGAATTGAGGGCGAACGATGATAAATGTAAAAATATTTTAAAAAATTTAAATTAATTACGTAATTTCTAATTTATTAGTAGAAGTCACACCTACTAATACCAGTCTAAAAAAATGTTTGGAACACCTTGCCCCCTTATCAGGTAGAGTACGATGAGAAACGTAAATGCTTAATTTCTTTCAATTAAGTAATCTTTATGTAAGGTATTGGTTGAGAAAAAATCTGCGTCACGAGCGGGATTCGAACTAAGGCTAAGGATCTAAGGCTAAATACGCCGCTGCTCTACCACTTGAGCTATCGTGACCTCGATCCACTCGGACATCAACTTCCTATCTCAACCCCACCTTATGAGTTTTCCCTCCTTTTAGCCATTTTTCAAATGTCGTGTAATCGGATTGGATTCTTGACGACAAATGAAATGGCTACGGAGAGCTTTAGTGAAGGTATACTTCATTTTAACGTATTAAATTCACTAGTTTTCGTGGTCCGCTTGACCAATTAATACTTTACAATTAATTAAGGTTTTTAGTTGAGATGAAAAAAACTCATAAGGTGGGGTTGAGATGGGGAGTTGATGTCCGAGTGGATCGAGGTCACGATAGCTCAGGTGGTAGAGCAGCGGCGTATCTAGCCGAAGGTCGTGGGTTCGAATCCCTCTCGTGCCATTAGCTTTTTTTCATCTCATCTAAAAACCTTAATTAATTGTAAAGTATTAAATAATAATTCACTAGTTTTCGTGGTCCGCTTGACCAATTCATATCTTTCAATTAATTAAGGTTTTTAGTAGAGATAAAAGAATTGAAAAATGGCAAAAAAGAGGGAAAAGTCAAAAGGTGGGGTTGAGATATGAAGTTAATGACCGAGTGGATTGAAGTCACGATAGCTCAAGTGGTAGAGTAGCATCGTATCTAGCCGAAGGTCGTGGGTTCGAATCTCGCTCGTGACACTGACTTTTTTTATCCAAACTAAAACCCTTAATTAATTTTAATAATAATGTTGGATATATGTAGGGTTTCAATCTTCGTAGAGGTCATTAGAAGGGTGAAAAAAAAGTCTAAATGCTGGGTTGACCGAGATTTCAGCTCCTTATAGTACCATCATCAGGGCATGTATAAGTTATATAACCATTTGTACATAGTTTCTATAAATAGCTGTAATTTTAGTTTTACATGTATAAAAAAGCAATTTTTGTAAATATTCTCTGTGATCACAAAAATATCTGAACGAAATTGCTAGTCAGAACAAAAAATAGTTGGACCTTTAGCCATATGGATTTTAGCGAGATGTCTGATTTTCCGTCAAAATGTATTATGCTTTGCTGGCCATGTGCTCCATAGCCTTAAACCCAAAATGCTTGTAGAATAGTTTTCCATGTTAATCGTTTTCTTTAACTTTGGAAAAGCCCTGATAATGGCACTATAAGGTGCCGAAAGCTCGGTGAACCCAGCATTTAGTCTTTTTTTCACCCGTCTAATGACCTCTACGATGATTGGAACCCTACATGGATCTGCAGGTCGATCAACGAACATCAAATATTGGATATTTAGGGGCCGACAGAAGCAGAAGTCATCGTTGGCCTTCTGCATGTTTTCCTAATTTGCCTGGTCTTTTAATTGCAGCCATTGAGCATCTTAATCTGGTTACGAACTCTGCTATTATTTATATTATGTATACTACGTTGATATCATAAAATGCTAGCCTCTCTTGTGTATCTCAGGTTGTTGACTACATAGTAGACACAAAGCATGTAGTACATATGTATAATATATACATATACAAAAAAAATCCGACCACGTTGTTTTTACATGAACATATCGCCAACGTTAAAAATGAGAATTTTTTCAGCCTTCTAAATCACAGACCTGCGCTCGATCTCATTTTTACAAAATTTTACGCAGGACAAGATGGTTTTTGAAATGTTTTCCTAGATTCAGTCATTCATCAAGGTGCCCTGTAGCTTCAATATAGGCAATTTTAATAAGCTTTCATTTGGCCATCTTTCATTGCCCGATTTGTCAACCTTTTTCGAAATATTCGCGATTTTCTGGCAAAAACATGATTTTATACG